CGCACGTACAAGTTCGCGTAGATGAAGATCGTTTAGAAAAAATCCGCAACGGACACAAATTTATTTTTTATATTACATCAGAACCCTAACTTTTTAGTCACAGTCTTACGACGCCTACTTCTATTTCGATTTTTATTTCGCCTAAACGTCCTCAACTCTGCTCCACGCTCATTGGGAGCCATATTGTACCAGACGCTCATTGGTCCTTCCTCGGGGGCTTTACCAGCCCCATCAACTACCCCCGATCTCGCTCATTGGGAGCCATATTGTACCAAACGCTGATTGTTCTTTCTCGGGACCGACGCCACTCCCGCTCTTACACTTCCTTTCTCAACCGACCAACTTGCTCTCATTCACGTTTGAACGTACATGGCAGCAACATCGGAACGGCACCAGCTTCAAAACGGATTTTTTAATAAATATATACTCTTTTAATAAAGAATCCTTACTCTCAAACATTCTCGAACTTTCCTCCCCTCCCTACACAAATTCCTCAAAAAAAATTTCAAATACACATTTTAAAAAAATTATACAAAATTTATAAAAAAATTTACGGGGTCATAAATCATGTCACATTTCTATCCCCTCTAGTGGGCGTGGCCCTAAAAAGAGGGGAAACCACTCTGGTGGGGCAATAGCGCCAGAAGTGGTGGGGGGACCAGGTGGAGGGGATTTGTTTTGACGCGCCATAAGTGCCCACATATTACTACAGTAATAAACGGTTCAAGTGGGATTATTGTATTATCTTTGAAGTCTCATCTCCTCACACCATCTAATGCTAATTCTAAAGAGATGTTGGTAAACAGCGAAATTACATCCAAAGATAATAAAACGTCTTCATCACAAAATTCCAAGTCAGATAGACGTCCGAATAAAACTGTTTTGCACAAAACTATGTGGATTTGGTAGGCTTTTAAGTAAAATTTGCAAAAAAGTTGCAAATTTATATAACGTGGTATTTACACAGGAAACTATAATCCTGAAAGGAATATCGGGTTTGTGAATCTTCGGAAGTCCATAAGCACGAGGAAGAGGTTTATTACTTGATAAAAGAAAGAAATATTCCTTAGCATTTAAATAATTTGCCTTTTGCCAAGACATTTATTCAGATTATTTTCGATATTTTTGGCTGAGTTCTTCAATTTGGATATTAAGTATTTGTATTATTTAACAAAACATTAACCTTGAAGACATAATCCTCTTTGTATAAAGCAACAGTGACATTGCCTTTGTCAGCTCTCGTGAATAAGATGTTAGAGTTATCTTTAATAAAAATTTTTGTAGAAAAATAATTTGATCAATTTTCTTTCAGCATTAGTTATAAAAAATTGTTTATCAAGGAAACGCTTAAGAGAAAAAGCAGTGTAAGCATATGTGAGGTTTTATTTCTTCATCAATCAGTCTGATATTATTTTCCAAATCTTTGATGAATTCAAATGTCATTTTGAAAATAGATTAAGATGCGAAGTTTACATAAAGTTTCTCATAGGATGTGTGCTTCAATAATAAAAAGAATGGTCATACATTACGTAAAAATAGGCCACAGAGTTGTCCATGAGTATGTGAATAATATGAGTCCTCGAAAAAGCACGCACGCACTGAAGAGAATATAGATGACAATAACACACAAAATATAATATCGTTTACTTACAACATATGCACGACTGCATATGCACTTGCTCTCCTCTGTCACAAAAGGACGCCTCAAACGCCCTCAGGGACTGCACCCGGGAGCCCACCAATCCTCCTAATTTAGTTCTAAGAAGTTGATTGTAAGTCTTATTGTTTTTTTTTTTTTTTTTTTTTGATCTGTTTAATTCGAAGTAAATGATCAGATACGAGCGCCTCACCGGCACTATCACCGACATCATTAACATTCTACGCTACAATCTACGCTAATGAGAGAGGGTAGACGATCGAGCGCGGATTAACTAAAAAAAAGAGAGCGTCGAAGATAGCAGGACCGCTGAAGGGCCAGAAGGAAATCAGCACAAGAACAACGTCTTAATCTCCTTGCCTTTTCTATTTGGTAAGGGTATGTATATAAATAATTGCCTCTGGTTTCTTTTTAGCAATTGACTCTATACATCGATTGTAAGTAAACGATATTATATTCTGCGTTATTGTCATCTACATTCTTTTCAATGCGTGCGTGCTCTTTGTAGGATTCATATTACTCACATATTCATGGACAACGCTGTGGCTTTTTTTTACGTAATGTATGACTATTCTTTTTATTACTGAAGCACACATCCTATGAGAAACTTGATGTAAACTTTGTATCTTAATCGATTTTTTCTGTGTTATTTATTTATTGTATTTTTTTTATATGTAATCCGATCGCGACTGAAGAAGACTCTAGTATGAGCTCGAAACATTTCGCAAAGTAATGTTAACGCTTTGTGATCACTTATAGTTGCTTTAATTATCTTTGCTCAAGTTTGACCTTATTTACTCATTTTATTGTTTATAGAACGAGCGTCTTTCCATTCTTTCTTTAGTTCTATTATTATTTTCTTTATTATTTTTTATATTTTTTATTATAGTATCTTAATTTAATTTAACTAAATCCATTGTAAATCTAGTGTTATTTACTTATGTAAGACTATTTTCATAATTACAAAACTTCCTGTGCTCTTGCAATTTTTTTATCGCTCGATCTAATGAATACAAACAGCCACCTAAACCTTGCTTTCGGTCGGAACTAGCTGGTCACCGAAAGAACAGTGGTAGATTTTGACGTAGAATTCATTCAGAATCATCCACTTATTTTCTTTACGACCAATTTGGATTATTCTTTCGACAACTTCTTGTATACTGAGTTCAAATCGAGAAGAGAAATTAGATGAACAAAAACTCGTCTATTCCGCGCATTTCCTCTATCAGAAAGCCTTCTTACTCTACAGCTATTGGCTATCAGCAAGTATCCCGCCAATTTCGTACGCAACAACTATCCCTACTTTACCCGCTTTTCTTCTCTTATGCACAGTAGACTTATCTTCTCGATTTGAACCTAGTATAAATGTTATTAAATCCATTTTTTGAGAGAGTGACGAGTGGAAGTGAAAGTAAGAACTACTACTGACAAAAAATCGCATCACATGTACAGAGAAGTACATAAATCAATCTCGGGCCGCTGAACGAGACCGAAAAAAAAACGACGTGCTGTAGTAGGAGCAGCTAGAAGAGAAATTTCCGAAAAATACTTCTCCTGGAGTCGCACGATATGGTGCACTTCTCTGTACGTAATATGCATATAATTTTATTTTTCATATTTTTTCAAGTTTGTCAATTAAATTTTATTACTGTTTTACACACTTTGCACAAACAATTTTGTTTCAACATATTTGATATTGATTTTCTCTTATGTAATAACGAGCTAAAAAGAGAACACTATCATATCGACGCTATCGAAAACAAGATAAAGTGAGAGAAAAAAGTTCAGATGGCGTTACTGATACAACGTCGCGTGCGTGTTATTATTGACATTGACATCTTAGGTACCGACAAAGAGTTTTGCTACTATAAATAATGTATATATTGTGGCTGTGCTAGAACATAACGTTAGCACGATAACTTTTAAATTTTAGTTTTTTGATATTAAAAATGCTTTATTTTTATCAAGAACTGTAGAACTATGAAAAATGCTACATTGGAAATATTATCTTTACAAAATTATTAAAACATCGCGCTAACTTCACGCTGTTCTAAACTTACAAGGGGTGGGTTGCGAAATACGAATTGCGAAATACGAAATTGAATGAGTCATTCATTCGAAAGGGGAGATCGAGGATGTAAAAAGTGTAAGAGAGTTTGAGTGCTTTGTTTCCGAGGATTTTGCATGCAAAGTTAAGCGTGCGGCTAGCTGTACGTTAAGTAACATAGATAAGTTAGACTTAGCGCGAGGCGTCGTGGCTGAGCGGCCAAGGCGTGCGCTTTGTAACTTTTGGCGTCCGTTTTCCGAGTTCGAAACCTCGCAGTGTCAACTTTTTTTCCATTATAACGACTATATCTATTAACAGAATTAATTGTTTTTATTTTTTAGAATAAAATAGTAATAATAACAATGCAATTATATAATAAAAATAAGAACGGAAATTTCTGTACTTTTTTATGTTTATTCATCGTGTTTTTATTTATTATAAAATTCGGACATTGTTATACAATGTTGTGAAAATTAATACAAAAATATTGGAATTGTTTAAAGTGTAACAATAATGTAAAGATAGATGTATCATGTACTACAAACATATTGTAGTCTTGAGCATATATCTGTTTCCTCTAGCACATGCTCATAGAGCACGACTTGAAAAAACCGTTAGAGCGTCTGTTAGATTTCTCCGCGTCAATATTCTCACACATTTTCACGAGTTTACATCACAAGCCTTTGTTTATTCTCAATGTTGGTGTACAAAGAATTATTCTTTTATAAAATGTTCGTGTTGTGCGATCCATTTATGTTTCCAATGTTTTTATGTTATTTGTATCCACAACATTGTACAGCAATGTCCGAATTTTATAATAAATAAAAACACGATAAACATAAAGAAGTACAGAAATTCCCGTTCTTATTTTTATTATATAATTGCGTCGTTATTAATATTGTATTCCAAAAAATAAGAACAATTAATTCTGTTAATAGATATAGTCGTTATAATGAAAAAAAAGTTGACACTGCGAAGTTTCGAACTTGTAACGAATACCAAAAGTTACAAAGTGCACGCCTTGGCCGCTTATCCACGACGCCTCACGCTAAGTCTAACTTATCTATGTTACTTAACGTACAGCTGGCCGCACGCTTAAATTTGCACGCAAAATTCTCGGAAACAAAAACCTATGCACTCAAACCCTCTTACACTTTTTACACCCTTGATCTCTCCTTTCGAATAAACTATAGCTCATTTAATTTCGCAATTCGTGCCCATCCCTTGTTAAAGAAATAATACTGCCATATTTGATATCATAAAGATATTATAAATAAACCTATTAAATGAATATAGACAGCAAATGCAACTATTGAAGTCAATATAAGTAACGTAATGAGATTGGAAAACCTAGTAAAGGAGCATAAGACATTCGGCGAGAAAATGCAGAAGGACATTAACAAACTAATATTGAAAAAAATGAATCTCCAAACAGACCTCGATAATGCAAATTTTGAAATTGAAAAGCTAGAAAAAGAACTTTCTGACAATGAGAAACTATTAAAAAACGTCCGATATGAACTTAACAGGTAAAAACAAACAGTAGTGCTATAAATATGTTAAAGAATAAAAATAACAAACATTAAAAATAAAAAATGTTTTAGAATAAAACAAGACAACGTCAAATGCAAGCACGAAAAAGACATGATAGATAAACGATTGCAGAAAGTCGAGATTGAACATTCAAAGTTGGAAAGCGAGCACAAACAAGCTCTCATCGACATCAAGAACACTGGGCGAGAGATATTCATATGCCGCAAAGAACAACATGACACCAAGCAACATATCGAGACTCTTTTGCGAGAGAAAAACATTTTTATTCATAACAAGGAAATCATTCAAGAGCGAGTCAAGAGACTGAATCGTGAGCTGTTGTTATCCGTAAACAGCAAAAAGAAAATTGAACACGAGCTAAACACGGTGATACAGAACGTCGAGGACATAAAAAAAGAAATGAAGATAATTGAAGACGAGAGAGACAGATATAACGCGACAGTGCAAAGATTAGAAAAACAGGTAAGGATATACAAATTTTATAGTAAAACTCTCTTTTATACTCTCTTTTATACTCTTTTTTAAACTAGCCTTCTCCAATAATCTTATCCTTTATATAGATTATAAAGATTATATTCTCCTAAATAACAATAAAAAGATCTTAACCGTCGCTCATTTTGGATTAAAACGTTATTAACAAAAAGTTTCATACCTAGACCACTATTTTGACACTTTGTATATTTGTAAATAAACATATAATGTGTTACACATAAATATCCAGCTTACAACAGAGCTATGTTTTGGTTTCTTTAGTCTTATATATGTTATTGTTTGAATAGTATGTTATATGTATTTGACAATGTTCTTCGCGCCGACAACATCTCCGATATAACTTTTTTAAAAATAAACTGTTTTAAAATTTGGCACAAAATAAGAACAAACTATAAACTTTCAATTTATGATAAATTTATGATACCAAATTAATTCCAAAAACAGATTAAAAAGTTTTTTTGGCAACACCTCCAATTTAAATTTTTTATATTTGATAGATATACGAAGTATTGCGAGACAAACTCCAAGTGCCTCGGTGGCCTAACAGAGAAGGCGACAGAAAGCCGGAGATTCCAGGTTCGATTCCTGGCTGAGGAGTTTTTTTTTGCAATATTTTAAAATTAGTTAGGGGGGTAAATATTATTTGTTAGTTCGCAATTCGCTATCATTTAATGGATAACTTTTGGACATTGCTGAAAATAATTTGTCTATGCGTTTGCGTATTACTTTTTTGTTACATAAATAGTCGATCTAAATCGTACGTCAAATAAAGAAATTTATGTAGGAACATGTTTAACGCTTGTTCGCTCAAACAGAACTAAACAACGTCAATGTGTTGAGAAATGTAAACAAAGCTAAAAGATCACTTAACAAGACTACTTTGTTTGTATTTTTCTTGTTCGTGTTGTAAGCGTGTAGGTGGGGGGAGAGCTCGCCTTCCCGCAAACCACGTATATACACTCTCGACATAAAGCGACACTTAATTGAATTCTTCATTTTTTCGCGAGGGAGCAAGGGAGAGGAGCGAGCTCCTCCCCCTGCAGGCGCAGGTTTCCCTGCCTACACGCTTACAACATGAACAAAACGTACGATGTCGGAAAATAACAGTATATTAACGCAACTTTTTTTGTGTATAATTTTTTAACAAACAACGAGCGGCTAAAACCTTCAGACTGTTGTCCAGGGAGATGTTTTTGACAACTTATGTCAAAATCATTGACCTCCGAAAGTGCTCTGTTTTTCTGATAAAGGAAATTAACTTAATCATCGGCGTTTACTCAATTTATACACATGTGTATTAATTAAAATCAAAACTTCTAATAGTACATTCGTTACAGATTGAACATGTACCAAACTAACATACTAATTAACTTTTATTAAAATAACCTTTGTCTTTATAAACGCATTACACCGTGTTTACCAATGGCTTTACTTACCACTATTATCTTAAACAAAATCAATGAAAGAAACTTAAATTATTTTAACCGTCTTAATATCAGTAAGAGTTTAGCAACTTTTTAAAACTACTAAATATTTACTTATGAAAAGTATACAATATCGGAAAATGTACCAATCGTACATTTTCTTATTACGTCCAATTGTACTGTGTCAAATCGTACGGTGTCAAATCGTAATGTGTCGAATAAATCACTATCAAATAATCTGGTGTTGAATCGTACGATGTCGAATAATGTGGTGTCAATTAATTTGGTGTCGAATCATACAGTGTCGAATAAACTGTATTTATTATACCTTTTAAATTATTCATTAAAATTATCATTAGTTCTGTGCAGTCATAATTTTACGTATACTAAAATAAGTAATACGTGGAAAAAGAGTAAAGGCCATCACTCATAAAATTACTTAAGAGCGTAAGACGTAACCGTAAGGAAATTGACCAATCAGAAATTTACGTCCGAAAGTGATGGCGACATAGTATTGTTACGTTCGCGGCGCACGAAGCCGTTCTCGAGAGACGCCGATACTCGCGTGCGCGGACGCGGCAATGACAAAGGCGCACTTTCTTATAAACACACTTTATTTCGTTACAAATACAGCGTTAATTGCCCGTTACACAAATCAACGAGACGCGTCTTGACAATTCCGCGGTCGCGATTCTTCTATCTTCTTCTCTTCTTTTTAACAAACCGTCGTCGCCCGGTAACCGACAGTCGCGCCGATCGCGCGCCGTTCACGC